GGAGGAAGCAGCGTCTAGTACTTAGCGATGTCCCCCTTCTTCAGGATGATCTGTCGCTGCCAGGGCGCCAGCTTGGTCTCGTCGTAGCCCAGCGTCCGCAGCTTCTCCGACTGCTCCTTTTCCCGCTGCAGCTCCTCCTGCTTCTGTCGCTCCTCCTCTTTTCTAGACACAGAACCACCGCAAGGGTGAGGGGGGGCCAGGCGCCTGGAGGGCTCAGCGGTGGCCAGGGCTGCGCCACTGAGGGCAGAGGGACTGATGAGCGGGAGGGTGGGCAGTGGCGTCCAGGGGCAGAGGTGCTAGGGGACTGGAGGCGGGGGCTGGGTTAGGAGGCAGGCAGAGGGGATTGCTGGGGACAGATTGGGATGACTGGGGCGCTCCTAGAAGCTGGGTGAGCAGGAGGCCGTGGCTGGGTTTTTGCTGGCTGGGGGGTCACTGGAACAGGTGCTGATCACAGGGTGGCTGAGGGTGCTGTTCACAGGGTGGTTATGGGGGCGGGGGATGAGATTATTGGGGCTTGAGGATGGACTCTGGGGAGCAGAGGGACCACATTATTGGGAGGCAGGGGCTGGGTAATTATGGACAAATTATTAAAATGTGGGGCAATGGGGGAATATGGGGAACATCTGTAATACTTTCAACAATAAAGATAAATTTAGAAAAACAAAGCACTTTTTGTTTTCCAGGGAAAAAAAACCCCACACAACACAAAAGTGTGGTGGCTAGGTCTGCACTGCTAAGGTAGCCACTGAGCAAATGGGGCTGTTGAGGGTTTGAAATGTTAGGCTTGAGGTGTGCTGCAGCCATAAGGTGCTCATGGCATCGCAAAGACTTAGATTTAAGCGTGCAGGACATCTCATTAATAATTTTATATTGATTATATATTGAAGTATATAATTGAATTTTGATGTATCGAGTTATATAAAATATACTATAGCCCAGCTGGTGTGGCTCGGTGGTTGGGCATCCACCTATGAACCAGGAGGTCACCGTTCAATTCCCCATCAGAGCACAGGCCTGGGTTGTGGGCTCGACCCCCAGTGGGGGGTGTGCAGGAGGCAGCCGATCAATGATTCTCTCTCATCATTGATGTTTCTCTCTCCCTCCCTTCCTCTCTGAAATCAATAAAAATATATTTAAAACATACTATGAAAATTAAGTTCACCTATATCTTTTTTTTTTTAACTGAGCAGAAAGACTAGGTTAATGAGGGAGAAGGGCTGGGTAATTGGGGACGTGGTCATTACAGCATAAGAGCTAGACTCTGGGCCGAAACCGGTTTGGCTCAGTGGATAGAGCGTCAGCCTGCGGACTGAAAGGTCCCAGGTTCGATTCCGGTCAAGGGCATGTACCTTGGTTGCGGGCACATCCCCAGTGGGAGATGTGCAGGAGGCAGCTGATCGATGTTTCTCTCTCATCGATGTTTCTAACTCTCCATCCCTCTCCCTTCCTCTCTGTAAAAAATCAATAAAATATATTTTTTTAAAAAAAGAGCTAGCCTCTGGGGACCGGGTCTAGTTGGGGGGGGGGGGCTGGTGGCATTACTAGGAGCAGAGAAGCTGCCCTACGGGGCCGAGTGACAAGGGGATGAGCTCAAGATGGGACTAGATGAAGGGGCAAAGGAGGGGAGGGAGGTTGGGACCAGCCCCTCACTCACCGCTTCTGCTCCCTAGAAGGAAAAAGAGACAGCATTAGTTGGTGCCACCACTTCAGGGACACGATCCGGGCACCCTGCCAGACCCCAGCTCACCTCTCCTCTTCTAGCTTCTTCCGAAGAAGGTCCCGCCTCCAGGCAGGCATGTTGGCCAGCCGGGCCTCCTCTTCCTCCTCCTGAAACACACACAAAGCTTCAGGGTACCACGGGCTGGGAGGTACGGGCAAGGGGGGGTGCATCCCCAACTGGGGGGACCTGCAGGAGTTACAGGAAGAGACCCTTTGATACCTTTCTCTAGGGCAAATGGATGGAGGAGCCTGGCCACACGCCCCTTGCAAGGGGCAGGAGGTCCCTCTCTCCCCCTATAACTCAGGCCTGTGTCCTAAAGGCGGCGCCGGAAGGGTCAGAGCTGAGTGCAGGCGGTGAGAGCAGGGAATGAGAGTCCCCATACAGGCAGGTAGACAGATGGTCCCAGCCCTGTGACCCACGATATTCAGGCAGACCCTGCCAGCACTGAGAGGCTCTGGCTGGGCCCCGGTTCCGCCGTGAAGGCCCTTCCCAAATGGAGTAGACACGAACTCTACAACCGAGAGCAGGGGGCATCCAACACAGGCAGCTCAGAGCGAAGGGTTTTATTACTCGCACCTTACAGAGAACACGTCACACGGAACACTGCACACCTGGCTCCCCCACCTTCACCAAAGAGGTAGCTGTGAACCCCAGTGAAATCCAGAGAGGGGTGGAGAGCCACACAGCCCCAAGGGGGACCCACAGTCCCTCGCTCAGAGGGGCTGCTCCTTCCACCTGGCTCCACACGGAGCCAGGCAAGGCTGCAGGGCCGGAGGGCACTCCTGGTCTGCCCTGTGCCACGCCTGGCCTATCCGGCCAACTCCCCACAGCCGGCCATGATGCGACCTCAGTGGCCAGGCCGCCTGGTCCTGGGTTTTCCAAGGCCACCCTCCAGGGTTCTTGGTTAGCTTCTGACTTCGGAGCGCATCATCCAGGCATCCAGGCAGATATCCAGGCCCAGGCTAAGGTGCGTGAGGGGAAATCTGAATTCTTCGGCTCAGATGTCAAAAAGCTCCGCCTCCTTCTCCTTCCAGAAGGAGAAGCTGCGGTCGATGTACCGGCAGATGTCCTCGTTGCTGAACTCGCCCATTTCAGTAAACAGCTCCAGGGGGTCTTCAGCGGGGGCTT